GCAAAATACATATAGGCCCCTAATTGATTCTCCTGACGCAAATTCAGGTATTGTCTATTCCATCACGATGATAACAATTACCATTCAATAATAGAACTTGCAGTGAACTGAATCTAAAATGTATTCATAAAGTTATGATGATCTGAAGTGTTTGAAAACGTACACAATAATAGTTGAACCAACTTTAAAATACTACCACAAACACGGAATGTGCGTGACGATATTGTATTGCTTTAGAAAAGTGATTTCAAAAAGTATATTAATCCATCGTATACGTAAGGGCTTGTATTGTTGTTTTTGGTTTTTTTTTTACTTGCAGCGTTTGGGAAATAGGTAGGCCTAATAGGTAAATTGTAATGAATATAATCAATAACTATAGCCTCTAAAACCTAATATTATTGAAGGGTCCTTTTAAAGTTTGAATAGGATTTTTTTTAATTTTTAGATCATTATACCTATTGAATGAGCCCCCAATAGCCCCGGGCCCCAGTGCTGTGCACTGACTGCACTACCCATACCCACGCCACTGGACCTGAGTATTATTAGTGGTTACATAACGTTTGCTATGCACTGTATCATGTGCTATAGAAGTGGACCATAATGTATTGGGAATGTACCTCTCTCTCTGGTAGGGCCTACAGTACAATCAGTTAAAAAGTGTAAGGTATAGGATAGTGTGGATTTTAAAACATTTTTCTAACATGGTAAGGTTCAAAATAAGTGTCAAGGAAAGTAAGTATGATTGTTGGAAAAAATGGTCAACATTTTATTTTGAATTCTCACCCTGACCTTCGCTTGGGCGAAGTGGGCGAATGTCTGGATCCGCGTCTAGTTAGCATGAATTTTGTAAGCCAGGACCCATAGTATTTTGTTACGTTTCTTCATAGAGGGGGGGGGACACCCCCCCCCCAATGAACCCGCCACTGTGATTAGAATCAAATATAGAATTTAAGCTAACAAAAACAACAAATCCAAAACAAGTCCGTTATATTAGGCCTGTATTGAAAAAAAAATGTAAATTCAAAAATTCGGCCAAATACGGCCAAATATAGTTTGGCCGTGACTTTTCAAACGTTACGGCCAGGCAAATTGTTATACGGCCAGATTCCTCAAATCTGGCCGTCAAAAAGGCCAATGGCAACCCTGGTGTTGTTGGCACGCTAGTTTCGAGCGATTTTTTAGCGGCATCGTCGCGGCCGGGATGAACTTCGAGCGGATGTCGGTTCGAGCGGAATAGAACGAACCACTTTTGCGGCTCGACCAACAGGCCGATTCCTATCAGGTACAAACCTCTCGGACAATTAAATTTATATATTTCTGCTCTTTTAAAAAAATTAGTTTTATTAGCTGGTTAAAAGGTTTCTTAATCACCCTTTTTTCTAAATGTATTCAATATAAGTTTTTGATATTAAATATATTACATAGTTACCCGAGAGATTTGAAATTGACAATACCGGGCACATAAAATATTTTTTAAGTTTCAAAGTATGTTTAATTTAAGCACCCGATCGTATGCAGGCCTACATAAAAATTAATAATCAAGCAAAACAAAAAATGAATAGGCACAGTGTTTAATTTTTATTAGTAACGCGTCACTGAAAGTATTTACGTTACTGTACTTAACTGACTGCGTGCGTGTTTGATGCTAATTGACAACTGCAGTTTCAGTCACTGCATGACCGTTTTTACATTTTTAATAAAACCAATTTCTTCTATTAAATACATTTTCTTCTGAATTCGTGATAATTTGTTATCACGCTTAGACTTGCGCTAAATGCGTGACAAATTTTTGATCACGCACGTGTTTGTGCAAAATGCGTGTTTCATCCAATATATCAATTTGAAATGCGGGACCGTCCTGCACGATGCGAGACGGTTGGTAACTATGATATTAAATCTTGAGTAAAATCAGGTTTGTAATGTCAATTGATTGGATGGAGAAACTGTGGTAGGCCTACTGTAAAGCCAGCGAAACATCCATTAGGATGTGCACTGTGATACGGTAAGTTTAAATATTATTTTGAACATTTGATGCAAATCTGTACTTGATTTGTCTTTTCTATTTTTGTGCGTTTTTTGCTTGTTTACTTTGTTCTGATTCCCATGCACTTTTGATGTTGTGGTTTTGTGATTTTGCTGCCATTGTCATTTTGATATAAAATGTTTTGATGATGTGAGAAGTCTGATTGTTTCTGACCACATAAGAGAAATGGATGTTTTGCCACACAACCGGACCACACAGTACTTGCCACTATGGGGAGTTTTATTACCAGTATGTAAATATGAACAGAGCAAGAATTTACAAAATTAATTTATTTGAAACCACAAACATTTTTTTTGCTCAAATAAGCCTAAACACCGCTCTTAAATAAGCGCCGCACTAAACCTGATTATTTTCACTAAACGCCGCTCTCGAATAAGCGCCGCAGCGCTTAATCGAGACTATAATATTACTCTGCGTGTAATGAACACTTTGAGAAACTGGGGTTTAAATACAATGAGCCGCTTATTAGAGTATTTATGGTATAAACTGCAAAATCATTGAATCATTGAATAAAAAGCCAAAATTTAAAAAACGACAGGCTCAAACAATGATTACTACAAAGCACTAAAATGTGCACTGTCTATACAGTGTATATTTACCATTTAATCAATCAACAAACTTTTCAAAAATCAAAATTCACCCTGCTCCTTTACTGGCACCACTGCTGACATAATTTCATTTCATCTTCTGTAGAAGAATGTAATCACAAAGGAGGGCCCGAGGAGTTGAAACAGTTCAAAACTAATATGAATGAAATATGAGCTTACCAGTGGTGGATATAGAGGAAAGGGGGGCGGGGTGTA